GGGGGGGGGGGAGGGATTGATGGGAGGGGAGACGGGGTGAATGTTGGTTTGATGTTTTTTTCTTTTGGTTTATTGTTGCGACAAGGCCTTTTTTTCCTTTGTTTTTTTGCGTGTTTTTTGCTGATCAATCTGCCTTGCCGGAAGGCGAATGAAAGTTGAAGCACTGATGAAACGTAGCTGAGCCGATGCTCATCTCATCCTTCTGTTTCGTTGCTTTGGATCTTGTTTTTCGAACCTAATACCCGGCCTTGGTCCTTTTCGAGCGCGGGTAAGCATTTTGTTGATGCTTCTCGCTTTAATCCTTTATGCCAGGAAAGAGTTTGGGATATGCGAGTCTTTCGGCGTCGTGAGGACACGGCTGGATGCTCTATCAAACCTTCGACAACCACTCGAGCGTTGATGAAATATAGCGCCGAATCGAAAATCATGCGGTTGTGGGTGACTGACTTGATGTTTTCCGTTCGCTGTCGTTCTCGTCTCCGTTCCGTTGTGGCTGGCCTCTTTTGCATCGCGACCAAACAGGTGCTTGCGGCCGGTGCCGATAGCATTGCCGTGATTTCGGCCATCACGAAAGCGGATGACGTCGGGGAGGCGGTGCGACAATGGGATGCTGCCTTCGAAGCCAAAAGAAGACCTTCATCACCCTCACCCTCGTCATAGAGGATGGATATCGGAGGTCGTGCGCCCTCTATCGAAGGGTCTCCATGGATCGCATATGGCTCTTGGTCGCTTCGACTAGCCACCAGGCATGCTGGAAGAGCAACGACTAGGCGAATTCTGCGACGCATGGCGTAGGTATCGCGCGTGGTTTTCACCAAACAATGCTATGCAAGGGTGGGGAGCAGAAAGTCCCTTCATTCGCGTTGTCTTTGTGCCGCGTTTTTGTGTAAGCGATGTTCGGTGAGCATCCACTTTCCATGCCCTCAATCGTTGTGGCATGCTGGGCAGGTCGTTGCGAGGGTTCACCCTTTCTTGATACACCCCCCCACAAGGCGGGTATCCATGGATCCTCTGCTATGGACAACCAGCAGCATCACCATCCAAAAGCGGCGTAGCTTTTAGTTCCAATTGTTGTTCATGTGGAAAAGAGGGTTTCGTCCTCGACAGACGTTGGGGAGTTTCAACCTTTATGAAGGTGTTCTCCACATTCACATGTCCTCCTTTGATCAACGGTTGCTCCACGGGCAGTATGATCCCTACAACTCAACCGCGGTCTTTGTACACGAGGAGCTCCGATCCGGGCTCAAAGGGAAAAATCCTAGGCCTTTGTCTTGTACAAAGAACGTGTGAACGACGCAACAATTCCTCCCCTCAATGGTACTCACGATGCGTGTAGAAACTACAGTCTCGTCACCTATCAGGAAATGACTGCGGGGAAAAATACCTCACTTTCCAATGGGACCTCACTTATTATCGAATACCACATTTTTCCTCATCAGCGAAAAGTACTCTGGAGTATACCGTAAGGTTGGGAGTCAGTGCACCCCCTGCGGTGGTTTTGTTGAACGTTTTCGCTGACTCGCAACCTTTCGGTAGTAGCATACGAATATCTAGACTACAGCAGTAGACTACACGTAAGCAACATTATGCACGTGCAGAGTAAATGTTACTGTGAAGGTTCAACGAGTTCTGCACAAGACTGAACTTCAACGGGATGGTGGCGCTAAATTGATGTATGTTGCGAACGGCACAATGTACCAAGTATTACCAGGAGACGTAAATACCAACACAGAAATACTTCCCATTCGAGATGCAACAACAGCAGCAGTTGAACGGGATGTGCTGGATGGAGTCGTTGCAGTGAATGGAGACTACAGCAGTAGCTGTTGAAAGTAACATTTGACCCAACACAACGATTCTCCGAGTTCACGAGAAAATCGACGGATGAAATTGGGGTCGGCCACCCGCACCACACCCTCTCCTATACGGTGCCTATGGCTTGCTCAAATAAAGACGCGCAAGTCTTCAAGCCATGCTGAAAATTGTAGTCTAAATGGCAACGTTTGTGCGGCGGGCCTTCAACTCTAATTGGCCAGCGAAGCGGCGCATCATCATAATACTGAAAAAAAATATGTTCAACGTGTCACTTGTACACCTGTCGCCTAGATAGTTACTCTTGGTGCTCATCCTCAGCCTTGCGGCACACCAGATACACTCGCGCCCAGCAGCGCACGACGGTGATCTTGCGACCGTGTTTTCTAGGAAACGCTGCCTCAGCGCAGTTCCGCGACCCGGTCGTCTTCCCATTCTTTTCCACGCATACACATCAGATGGCTCCTGTCGCTGCTGTGATGCTCTCAGCTGCGGCTGTGGCGGTGCCAATGGCGGGCGCCTTCGTCGTAAACCCTACAACAAGGTCGGCGTTCACTAGGCAAAGTTGGGGAGCGATGCGAGGTGGGTGGTTTGCAATTTGCTACCGCATGTCTGTGTTGTTTGTGTCTGTGTGGAAAAAGAGAAGCTTCCGTTGGCCGCGTGATGAGAGTTGCCGGAACCGTGCATTCGCGTACAGTGTATGACACAAGATAACACTCCCCCTGGACCGATTTTCAAAGCTTGATTACGCCATGAAGAAGAGGATGCAAAAACGAAACAATACATATTTGTAGAGCTCTCGACGAGACAGCTTCAACGCCACCGTTTTCGGCGCTGTGACTTCTTCGGTTGTTGAGAAATCGAGATTTGAAAATCGGTCCAGGGGGCGTGTTGTCTTGTGTCATTTACGGTAGAAAGCCTGTGGCAGCCCTGCGAATGTGAGAGATCTGGGGTTTTGTCAAGGGGGAAGACGCAGGAGCATTTGCGACCACGTGGGCAGCATTGGCAATCTTCTAGTTAGAACCACTCTCTACCCACTTCATTCACCAACTATAGTTTAAGGTAACAGCGGAGCTGCTAAATTGTTGCACGTGAAAGTAGGTGCATTGCTGCAATGTTGCAGTTCACGGTAGGTGTTGCACAACACTGAGGACGCTGCGGCTTCTTTGATTCGACCAACGAACACCTTTTCTCTACCCTCTACTCCTGCACACGCTTTCTCAAGATTGCTGTCTCGTCCCTTGCTGACGTCGTGCAGATCCCCGCTCTTTCGTCGCCAAGCGTACATAGCGCGTACGACGCCAGTATTCAGGAACACCCCCGACGTCAGACTCAAATCAATGGTCTCCTGAATTAACGTCTTGCGCATTCCGCCGGGCGTCTCCTGTAAACTCAATCGTTTCGCCGCCATCGATAGAAGTACATGCAAGCGCCGATGGACGGGAACGAACAGAGTGGATCCCTTTCGAGGCCGAACACCGCTTCTCTTCATAGTCTATATGGTTGAGAAACCTCGAACATTCTGGCGCTTCCCACTTTTACAATCGGGAAGTCCTTTTCGGTCGTACAAGCACATCCCCCTCCCGTGCGCGGGAAGGCGTACTACTGCTGTAGCCATCGTTCCTTTTGGTGCCTCAATTGAGCAGCGTTCGCCTCTTGTTTTGTTAGGACGGGGGAATGCCTTTCACGTGCTTGATTTCGGCGCCGCCACCGTTCATTCCCGGTGAGTCAATACTGCTGTGTGGTATTCATTCATTCGGTGTTGCTCATGTTTTCCTGTCTGCTCTCCTTGCCTGTGAACAACCGTTCCTCTTCCGCGCAGCGCGCCCCCACTACCCCAGCAGCAGCAGCAGCAGCAGCAGCAGCAGCTGCAATAGCTGTCGACAGCAGACTCTACGCCGGCACACGCACGCCAACCTGCGGTGCACGGCCACAACAACCGCGGAGGGGAACACCGCCGCCACGGCAGCGGTGGCGGCCGACCAGCACGCGCTGGACCCCACCCTCCACGACGAGGAGGACGCCGCCGAGGTGGACCACTTCCGGGATTTCGCGTACCCGCAGAACAAGGCGCGATGGAAGAAGAACACGAAGCAGGTACGGTGTGTCGAGTAATTAAAAGGTAGGCGGTTGTACCCTTACTCGGCTACTGCTGTTGCGCTACTCGCCCACCTGTATCTCGGGTTCACGCTGGTGCAATGCCTGGGCCGGCGAGAACCCGGCGTGTCGCTCCCCGCCCGGCATTGTAGGGGTACCGAAGTCAATGGCCGAACCACGACGGCATGCGCTTACATTAGTACACTCCCCTCCCTGCATCTTTTGTCTCCTGCTGTCATTGCCTTACTCACCCCTCTCGCCCCTCCAACCAGAGCGTTCAGTTCCACCTTTCCCCCCGACACCAATCGCCTCCTGTCCCTTGGCCGGCCTGCCTGCTTGCTTGCCTTCCTGCCTGTCTGCCTGTCTGCTTGCCTGGGTTATTGACGCGTCCCCCCCCCCCACCGTTATGTTGTTTACTTTACCTTTCCGTCGTGTTCGAGAACCGCAGATCGCCACCTTGGGCCCGGCGTCCTGCACGGAGGAGCAGATCGAGGCTCTCTTCCTCGCCGGCGTGGACGTCTTCCGGCTAAACTTTTCGCACGGCGACCACGACCAGAAGGGCGAGGTGACAACCCTAGCTAACGCTTACGCTCTCTCCCTATTTTTGCTCGTGCTTTCAGAACGTTAGCTGACCTTGATTGTGCTCTGTGCTTAGGTCACGAGGCGAGGGCTGCAGATAAGGGGGGGGGGGAGTAGGATGCCTCGGGATGGACGCTCATTTCTAGCGCGGTGCAGCTACGGTTCTTTTCAGCGTGTCTTTTTGAGTCCGAGACCGTATGGTATGGATCGGTTGAGGGGAAGAGACAGCGAGGTGTTTCTATTGGCTGACTCCCAGCCAAGCTCCCACCCACTTACTATGCCCCGAGTAATCTAACGTAGGATTGCGTGGTGTTGTTTCACCGGAGGGGAGGAGGCTCACGACGCCTCTAAATAGACCCAATGGTGCAACTCGTCTAGACGAAGATACCAGCAGCAGTATTATAGTGTTCCGCCAGGTCGATTTCACGCACACACACAAAAGCACGCCTCCTGACTGTCTTCCTCATCGACGAGTTGTCGTTAATACTATACCCCCCCCCTCTTCCCCCGCGTCTGTCTGTCGCTCACCCAACCGCCGCCGGCGGTGTCACAGTTGGTGTCCATCATCCGGGTCATCGAGGCGAAGTATAAGCACCCCATCTGCATCCTCGCGGATCTCCAGGGACCCAAGCTCCGCGTCGGTACATTCGAACACGATACGGTAAATGCGCTAAGTCTACGTACCACGGCCGTTCTTCTGTAGTTGAGTTAGCTCGTGATTCATCTTTCACATATCTGCAGCGTCCTTAATGACGTCCCACTACAAGTGTATATTGCTGTAGGTTATTGAATAATCTTATGCCCACAGCGGCTGAATGGCATGGCACTATTGCGGCTGAATGGCATGGGCACGAAACCATCATTGGGAAGTAGGCAAATTATATCGACCCGTGATGTTCACCGACCGATTAGAAAGGGTAGCATAGCATCCTCTTGCGAGGAAGGTGGGGGGGGGGGGGCGTACTCTTATGTCTGCATGTCGTAGCGGTTGGACCGTTGACCACGCGTCCTCGAGATGACGGAGCATTGTTCCCACCGGACCGATCGCCGATGGCCAATCATTCCGTCCTACGGTGCCAAAGGTGGCTCAACAGTGTCGTCCCTAGCCTATCTATCCTAACGATATCCCTTCCCGCCTTTTCAACCCACTTCTTATCTCCCTGTACAGCGTCTCCTCCTGGCATTTACATGCCTCCATATCTCCTTGTATATTGCTTTTTCTTTTCCCAGCTCAGTCAAGTACATTTACCTCTCCATCTTGTACAACGGACATTCCGCAACTACATGAACCCAGTCTTCGCACTCGGAGCCGCGTTCACATTTGAACTTGTCTTCATCGTCGACCTTCCTAAATCCTCGTCCACGTTCTCGAAGGCCAAGATTGGATCCCCAGTTCCGCCCTGACGGCTGCATTCACTTGTGCCCTTGGAGTATCCTAGGATGGTTTTGGCTGCGTTCATCTGCGCCGCCTCAAGCTCTTTGACAAATCTTGTCCTTCCTTCTCCGGCGTACTCTTGGGAGCATGGGGGGGAGCTTTTGCGTCGGCTCGAACCCGCCCGAAGCCGTTTCTTTTTTTCCCCCACACGTATAACCGACCAACCCAACACAGCACTTTTGGACCAAGTGGAGAACTCGCCACGCATCCATATTGCCCCCCCCGTCTTGTTTCTTCAAAACACACACACACACACACACCAAGCCAGAGGACCTCCCGCACAACAAAAGACGGAGAGACAGACAAGAAGAAGAGCTGCCAAAAAGTTGCTGCCAAAATGACGATGAGAATAGTGATGGTAGTAGTGGTGAAAGCAAGAAGAATGATAGAGAGAGCACTCCTAAACGAAGTCGAGTGCAGGGTGACAGTCTTAGTAGACACGTGCAGTTTTCTTCTGTTATTACTACGGTATCTGTCTTTAATCCTGAGAATAGCGTAGCTCCCCCTACGACGCTCGGTCCCGGGGTCCCAGATAGTGGACTATAGAAACATTTTGTGTTTCCCGCCGCACTGAGACTGACGTCTTTTCATTGGTCAGCCGGTTAGCGCGGTCGATGCTAATAGTAAAAGCACACACACACACAAGAAATGATCACCTTTGTCTAAATATTTTGCATGCACGGGCGCACCGCTTCGCACCCCCTTTTTTGTGCGATGATGACGCTATCATCTGCCTAGGTGAACCTGGTGAACGGCCAGATGTTCCGGTTCGATATGGACGACGAGCCCGGAGACGCTGCCCGAGTCAGGCTCCCCCACAAGGAAATCATCGACACCCTCCAGGAGGCGAGCTGATGTACTTTCGGTCAGATCCACTCGGACAGACGAGGTTGTTGTCTTTGTTGGGAGGAGGGGAGATGCTCCGTCTCGTCGTTGATTCGCGGGAGCGTTACCTCGCCCGATGCGTACACGACAGGGAAGGGGTGGGGTGGGGGAAGGGGGGTGCGTTTTGTTGGAAAGCATGGTCGTGCAAATGCGTGCTGGCTTTGAATATTTGTTTGTCGATGACAGTGTGGGTCGTGAACATGGTCGGCGGTACCAATATCAGAGGCTCTCGTCACCATTTTATACTTGTACGGCTCGTTTGGTTACGAAAATGCACCCGCCGCCCGCATCTAAAACCTGTCGCCTATCGACCGCCGCGCCGTCACAGCCAAAACTGAAATAGTGGCTTGGAAACTTGCAACTGAAAACGGCGCCACGGTCGGCAGCAGCAACCAATCTAGCAAAGGCGATGGCAACAACAACGTAGCAACGCCTTGTCTTGGAGATGGGGCGATCCTTTCCTCAACTATACCAACAACGACAACAACAACGTTGGAACACCGGGTCTTGCTTGTATTTTGGCGATTTTCTCCTAAAAAATAAGGCAACTAGCCATCGTCTTGCTTGTAAAAGAGCGATTTTCTCCTTAATAACAACGACCAAGTAACAATACAATCTTGCTTGTGTAATAGCGATTTTCTCTTCTATAACAAGGTAACAGCACATTGACGTGTTCTTTGCTGCTATGTATCAGGGCGATTCTCTCCTCCTGGATGACGGCAAGCTGCGAATGACGGTGGTCGAGAGCGGGGAAGGCTACGTGATCTGCAGGGTCGACGTGGGCGGGAAGCTGTCCAACAAGAAGGGCGTGAACACCCCAACCGTCCGCCTGCCGATCTCGGCCATGACCCCCAAGGTGATGGATCGAATGATATCGATCGAAACCTGGAATGTGTTTTCTCTCTCTCTCTCTCTCTCTCTCTCTCTCTCTGTAACTCTCTGTTTCTTGGTGCCTTTGTCTTGCTTGCCCCGGCTGCAGATAGCTCATTTGCCTCCTCATCATTTGTTCTCGTAGAAATGTAGTGGAAACTTGCTGCATCCACCACTGCCAGGTGCGCTATTATTTTCTTGTTCCCGTTTGTATCCCTCCTTCTGTCCCCCTACGTCCCTTCATCCTCCCTCTGTTACTGTTCTGTTCTATTCTGCTCTGCTCTCTGCTCTGCTCTATTCTGTTCTGCTATGTTATTTTCTGTTCTGCAGGACCGCGCCGACCTAGACTTTGCCCTGGTCGTTCCAGGCGGCGTTGATGTGGTGGCCTTGTCCTTCGTGCAGAGGGCGGCCGACGTGGAGGAGCTCAAGGACATCGTGCAGGGGAGGTGTCGGGTGAGTACGTACAGGTGTGCTGCGCGTGTATACGTTACAAGAGTGGCAGGTGTTTTGTTTTGAGATAAATGTCGCTGTGCTATGGGTGCGTGTGCGTATACCCTACAGTTATAAAAGCCCACCGTGCCCGCAACCAGTTATTTTTGCTCTTTTCCTCGGGTCGCAACTTCAGTTCACCGATGATCCTTCGCCACCCACTCCAGCAACAGTGACGACGAAGGTATCTGCCACGAGCTGTGTGTATCGTTCGTCTTGTGTGATGGTTGATACTGGTACAGCGCAGGAGGCCAAAGGACGCTCAGAATTTGTGAACGCGAGAGTCGTTGACAAGAGGGAAACATGACCCGCCGCGTCTGCAGGCAGCTTCTTTTGCTATTTTTCCCTTGTCGCGAGTTTGGTTCACCGATGGTCCCTCGCCCCCTCTGAAGCAATAGCAGTGACAAAGGTATCCGCCACGAGCTGTGTGTAAGATTCGTCTTGTGTGGGGTGGTGGTCTGAGGCTATGGGACGCCCAGACGTTGGGTTCGCAAAAAGTTGACAGTATACGAAAAATGACCCGCCGCTGCTGCGTCCAGGCTCTCTCGGCTTGTCTGCCGCTTGTTCGCTGCACACTTCGGGTTGTCCACCTGATCCAGCCGTATGAAAAACAACGGCTACCGCCGATGCTGCCGACTCAGTACCAGCCACATGGCACATTTCATGTGACCACCGTTAGAGTTTGCGGGGATCAACCGTCGAGAGATTCAAGTTTGTAGGTAAGCGTTATGGGGTTGTGACCAGAAGGGGACAAACACTTTTTGGCACCCCCGATCGATTCAAAAGTTGCCAAAAAAAGACAGAATGGGGTGTCCAAGTAAGGGTTGTCTTTCTTATCGCGGTTCTTCTTTGCTAAAATTGAACTCGAATAGAGTTTTATTTTGGCCAGCTTTCCCTTCTTGGGAAACAACATATCGCCAGAAGCAGGAACCGCAAAATATGGCCTCAGTCGTGCCGTATGTTTTTTGTTACGCAGCGGGCGGGAGAGGGAGCCTCAAGGACGTGCGGTGTTGAGCTCTTCTCTCCTTTTTCTTGAGCTGTTAATTTTCTTTCCTTTTCGATTGTTGTGTGTTTTTCATTGGCGGCTGCGTTTGGCCCCGGCTGACTGCTGTGCGTTTGTTGGTCTCGTTTTGGATCAAAAACCTGTTCGTGACTCTTTCTGCGTGTCTGGTCGTCTGTTGTCGCCGGCCGCGATGACCGCTGCAGGTGTTTGTGGCGTTGTGGGAGAGTCAATGCGCACGTTTTCGTACACCACGGTGATTACCATCGGTCGCCGTCTCGAGTGTTATTTTCGTTCGTTTTTCACGGTGGGCGATGTTGTAGACGCAGAGGCCGGCGGCGCGGCGGTAACCGGCGGCGCGGCGGTAACCGGCGGCGAACGGTGTGGTCGGCGGCGCGGCGGCGGTGAACGGTTGCGCACCGAACAGAAACAAACCCCATCTCTATCTGAAGACGGTTGTAGTCTGCGGGATAAATTGGCCATGAACTAACATGTAGCGACCCTGCTGTACCGCCTCCGCTGCTGCTGCTGCTGCTGCTGCACGTTGTGCGGGTCCTATGGCCGTGTGGTGTTTGCCACGCAGGTGATGGCGAAGATCGAGAAGCCGCAGGCCGTAGATGACCTGGAGGACATCGTGGCCTTGTGCGACGCCATCATGGTCGCCCGGTGCGTATGTTTCTGCTGCTTCTTCTGCTTTTGTGGCGGAGTGGTGGTGTTGTTATTAATTGCTATATTGATCGATACGAGTCTCTCTCGACTTTTCTGCACGCGTTGCGCGTTCCCAACACGAGCGGCCAACATCATCATTGACCCTACACAATCATGTGTCTGTTGCGGAGCTAGATTGTTCAAGAGCGAGAGATGCGCATGCTTCCCAACGATCACCAAACGTCATCATTGACTGTTCACCGACCACCATGCACCAATTGCACCGCCGTCAACGAAAGGCTGCTCTTTGGTATGTTATTTTGTCAAATCTTGTCGTGTTTTTTTTTCGTTTGTTTTGTCGCCGCAGAGGTGATCTTGGGGTGGAGATGCCTCCGGAGATGGTGCCCATCACTCAGAAGCAGATCATCGACTGCTGCAGGCGGCAGGGGAAGCCTGTTATCGTCGCTACGCAGATGCTCGAGTCCATGATTGACGTGAGCAGTTGGTGTTCACGCGTTGAATTATTGTTAATTGTTGTTGTTGTTGCTGTTGTTGTTGTTGTTGTTGATGATGTTGCTGTTGTTGTTCCTGATGCTCCTTTCCTTTTTATTTGTTGCTGCTGCTGCTGCTGTTCCCGTTGCGGTTACGGTTACGGTTGTCGTAATGCTCGTGTTTGTTGGTGTTTCATATCGGCAAGGCGATCGCGAATTTACGCCTTGCTTCAATCCACCGCGCTCTCGGCAACATCTCTACCGCACGCCCTTCACCTTCTGAGCCATCATAGAAACAGCAGGCATGGATCCCCCCCCCATTGCATGTCCCCCTTTTTTTGTACCTGCTTTTCCGCTTGTGGTGCAGAACCCAACCCCCACCCGCGCTGAAGCGTCCGATGTGGCAACAGCAATCTACGACGGTGCTGACGGGATCATGCTTTCGGCCGAGTCCGCCGCGGGCAAGTACCCCCTAGAGAGCGTGCAGATGCAGCAGAAGATCATCACCTCTGTGGAGGTCGACCCGGTAAGGCATTGTAGCAAATGGGAATGTGAGGGGGAGGGAGGGGAGGCAAGGGTCATTTGGTGGCGGGGTACAGGTGCTTGTTGAATGTATTTTGTACAAACTGCGGTGACCCGAAAAATGGCTAGGGTAGGTGACGGGTGGTGAAGAGGGTGCTCATTCTCTCGTCAATGACCGTAGGCTATCTAGCCTAGTCTTGTGGCGGTCGGCGGCTAGCGTCCGTCCTATCCGGACAGCGAGATGCGATCGAATCCAGCGGTGACTTCGTCTACTCTCTTTCTCTCTCGCTCCTCGTTTGCTGCTTTCTCAATAGTGAAGCTCGCCAGTGCTCGATAATTATTGCGCACCAACCCAAAACAATCAAGCGATTCAACCAACAAACCAACCAACTCATACGATCGATCGGCGTGCGTAAGCCTCGTGAAGGTTTAATGTCGTCCTGGCACAAGGATTTTTACGAGTTACTCTTCGCTGGTTCATCCGTGTGGTTTCGTCCGATATGACACGGCCATGCTTCGTGCGCCCCTTGCTCTGTTTTGGTTTGGTTCGCAGCTATACCGAAAATACCTGCTGTCGCACGCGGAGAAGCAGAGGACAGGATCGGCTACGGACGCCATCACGAGGGCGGCCCGCCAGGTTCGTTTTGGAAGGACGGCCGATGATCATGATGATGATGGTGGTGTCACCGATGTGGAGTCTAGTCAGTTGGAAGAGTCTTGTGCTATGTTTTTTCCGGTCTGGAAAACAAAGAATACGGCTTGCTCGTATTTCGTTAGTTTGTGGTAGGATCTAGGGGCGGCGCTCGTAGCCCATAGTTTGTGTTCTTTAGGGACGCAAAGGGGTCTGTCAGGTGGAAAGCTTTAGCGATCTTATTTTTTGTGTTTGACGTCGACGGCTGCTGCTGCTGCTGCTGCTGCTGCTATACCTTCCCACAACTGGCTTTCTCGAACTCCCTTTCCCCTCCCTGCCTTTCAACTCCTGGTTTTTTCGAATTCCCTCTCCCCGCTTTGCCCCGACCACCGCCACCACCGCTGTTGCATGTTGCATGTTGCATGTTGCAGGTGGCGGACACTCTTTGCGCGAAGGCGATCGTGGTCTTCACCTCGAGGGGAACGACGGTCCAGAAGGCAGCCCAGCTCCGGCCCAACGTGCCCGTCATGGGCGTGACGCCCAACATCGAGACGGCCAGGGGGTTGGCGCTGACGTGGGGAGTGTACCCGGCGGTGATCGAGCCGGACAGCGACGACGTGAACTTCCGGATGATGCTCTTCAAGTGCTGCGCGGTGGCGCAGGCCAAGCTCATCGCCGACAAGCCGACCGACCTGCTCGTGGTGACCGCGGGGCTCCCCTTCAAGGTGCGACGGCTCGCTGAGTTTTTTTTTTTTTGTCGTGTGGTGGGGTGCGTTTGGGTTTGATTAAGGCCGAGGTTGTGTTTGTTCTCGCCGCCTTGGGAGAGGAAGCACCTAGCGGTGGCAGCAGCTGTGTAGAGATTTTTTTGGTTTTCGTCCTAGGTCGTTGGGGCATCTAAACACACAGAGTGCCCCATGCTACTGAGTGGTCATGCGGAGACCTATTTTGCTGGAAATGCTCGGGCAGGAATTGAACGGTGGTAAAGACATGGGTGTGCGCGCAGCAATCCGCAGTTGGTGTGCGTCTGCGAACGCCAATTTTGATGTTCTCTAGAAGGGGCTCTCGTGTGGTGTCTTCACTGTGGTACTGCAATAAAAGTCATGCGCGCGCGGCTAGTAAGCGACGAACAAATGTTGGCTTTTGGTTGCTAGGGTCAAAAAGGGGAGAGAGACGCTTAACGCTTAACAGGGATCGGTACGAGAAATGACGGAAGTGTCTCGACATCCTTGGCCATGGTTCATGAAGGCAGGAAAAAATGAGGTCAATGTGACAGCTACAGTAGTAGTGCAAGGTGGCTGGGGTACGGCCTCTGCGACTCTAAATGGACTTTTTCGGTAGAAGCACGGCATGCAACCAAGTGCACGTGCACCTTTTCCAAAGCTGGAAGTGGGCTTTTGTTCGAGGGAAGGACATGGCCCCCTCTCCATCTCCTGTTGAACGCTCACACATCCATTGCCCTATGATAGCTCCAAGTAACAACATTCATGAATACCCCCCCTTCTTCCTACTATCATTATCCCATGTCGACTCCATGCATGTGAAGCTGATAAATCCCTCCCCCTCCACCCATTCCCTCAGGTCCCCGGAGTGGTGAACATCTTGCGCGTGCTGCCCGCAGCGGGGCCTGACATCTGGGACCCTACCCTCACCACCGACCTCGACGAGATGGACCACACCGAGGCATACGTTAACTATGATGACGTGTACTAGTGTACTTTTAATTTATTACTGTTGGAGTGCTGTCAAGGTTGCGAAGCAGAGACAACAGGGGCGCACGAGCACCCAGATGAAGCCGACCCACCGCCAGCCGCCCAGCCAGCTATAGCCCACCAGGCAGGAAGATCTTTAGTCTAGGCGATAAGTACACCTGGCTGACTAAACCGGGGATTCCATTCCACGTTCAACACGCAGCTTTGAGTTTACATGCTGGCGCAACCGAGCGAGCCGAAAGATGTACCCGGTATTTGTTTTTCATGTGGCGCCACGACCAATCGTGCACCCGCTCTTGCTCCGGTACGAACCATGCGCTGCTTGGAGCGAATGTTCACCGGCGCATGTGTGCATCGGTCGACTGCAGCTTTCAGCTGTCCTTGTTTGTGTCCATCCCGTCTGCACCTCGTGATATCTATACAGTTTTGAGCCTTACAAATTTAGCCACCAGCAGAGAAGGCTTCACCGCAATCGACGGCAGGGAGTGTGCGGCGAGGGCGGAAAGGGTGGTATATATACTGCAGCTCTGCAACTGTAACACGCAATTTCTTCGTTCGTTCGCGGGGGCTAGTCGCTATTATTGTTCACCCTTGTTGGCGTGTGTCACCTCTCCTCTTGAGATGGATAATAACGCCGACAAAAGGGATTTAACGGCGTTGGTTGAAGGTTTTTACTTGGTACTGTTTGAATTTGCAACTGTCTAGAGTGGAGGGGGGTTCCTTTGTTCTTTTGCTGGCATCCTCTGCAACGTGACGGCATGTCGTCGGTCAAGCTATTGCTTACCTTTCTAAGCGAAGCCAGCCCGACAACCAGTTGCATATGTGGTGGTCGATGTCAAGAGTTTGATTTCCGGCAACAAGCCTAGAGAGGAAAAATAACGAGGCCGGTATATTTGTAGCTCGTTGCCTAAAGAAGATGCAGCAGTAAAAATTTGACAGCGTCGCGAGGCTGGCTAGCTGCTGCCGTGTAACCGTTACGGGCGAACACTAGGCTTTTTGTGATGTGCGATTTGTTGTTCTCTTTGACTCGTCATTCGTTGAATATCCACTTTCTTTCAGCACGGTTACCGAGATTGCAGCACTCGCTCCCCCAATCGATTGGTTGGACACCAGCAATAGCGGCTTGTAGTGCAGGTTGAGATTGAATAAACGACCTCGTCCACGTATATGCTTCGGTCGGCCGTTCTGTGCTATTTGGGACAAAAAAAAGCCAAGCGTTTTGGGGTGAATCCACCCGTTTCATCAAAACAGAAAGGCCCGCCATATAAAATGCCGGTGAGGCACTGTCATCTGCCATGACGTAGCGGCGGAAGAGCATCGTCCGCCACCATCTGTTTTCCAGCGCCAAACAGGAATGAAAACCGCAAAATTTTGTTTGTTGTTTTAAAACGATTTTTATTCAAAAAGTGCCCTCGTCGCAACGTATAAAGAACGAACGACAAACTTCCAATACCCGCTTGCTGCTGTTTGTGTTCAATCGACACCTCTTCCCGGCATCAACAAACCCCCGCTTCTCTGAAGGTTCAGCTTGCAGGGGTCCGGGCTTAGTAGTCCCCTCCGCCCTCCTCGGCGCCGAACATGCTCATGCCGCCGCCCATGTCGACCTCCTCCTCCTCCTCCTCTTCTACGGGGGCAGCGGCGGCCGGCGCGTCGCCGTCGCCGCCGCCGCCGCCAGAACTGGCCGCGAAGGCGCTCGGGTCGGCGAGGATGGCCTGCAGCCCAAAGCAAAAAAGGGAAGCACAGGCACAAACGACACCAGGCAACCAATGATGTCAAGACAATTCTTATTGCATTGTTGCAGGATCAAAACACGAACTATGCGGTAACCGAGAAGTCTTATTGACACTTTGTACACACGTGACGAACGAGATCTCTACAAGAACAAGGGATCAGATCGAGCGGGATAAAACATCAGTCAAGGCTAAGGCTTTATTCCTGCGGGTACTTGGCACGGCAGAGCATCGCAATCGCCCCGCTCTCGTCTGTGTTCAACAAAAACGATCTCGCGTTTAAAATTCGACAGCAACCTCCCTCGCTGTTGTCAATCGTCGCACACCAGATTCCTTCATATGGTGCTGCCTGCCTTCTGTGGGGCCGTAGGAGGCCGGACCGACCGACGGGGACATTGCTCAACCTCCATGTTCCAAACTCGATCGCGCTATAAACCATCCAGGACACCCTTGCCGCTCCTCTCCAATGACAACAACGAAACCAACACTGCACACCGTCAAGGCCAGCTACACAGCAGTACGGCAGCTGTGGTCTATCTGGCCAGCCATGATCGCCACTGCCACAGCATCTTCCCTACCCCGTCACATTCCACGCAACCCCCCCTCCCCACCTTGATCGTATCGGCCTGCTCGAACGAGTAGGTGTCGCAGCCCTCGATCACGACGCCCACCAGCGCGCGGAACGCGTTGGCGATCGAGTGGGGCAGGGACGCCAGGGTAGGGAAGCCGAGCTCCAGGGAGACGGCCGCCACGTTGCCGCAGGCCGCGGCGAACTTGTTGCCCATGTCCTCGTCCGTAAGGTCCAGCACGGCTGCGTCGAACACCGAACCGTTGTCGTAGACGCACTCGATTACCAGGCCGTACGTGAAGGGGCGGATGCTCAGCTTCTGCAGCAGGGCCGCTTCGGAGCTGCCGACCTGTCGGGAAGTTCGTGTCGTTGGTTGGGGAGGGTTTGGGAGGGAAGGAGGGGACAGGGAGAGAGCGTGGCCTGGTCATGCACGCCGCCTCCCATAATGGAAACCGAACAGAGGCGATTGTTTCTAAACGTATTCGTACCCGGCAAGCTGTCTATCACGAACGCGGAATAGTTGAACCTATGTTGACGTGTTTTGAGAAGGAAGGGGAGGACGGGGATGGAGTGTGGCCTGGTGAAGGACACGCCGTTTCCTTCAACGCGAGTCAGGTAAGGCAGGCTGGCTGTATGCTATCCTCCCACAGAGCGCGGCATGATCGAAAAAAGGGGCCTCGACTTTTTCCAACTCTCGAGGTGGCACCTGCAAAAGCGTGAACTAGCGGCTGGCACGGCCGCGAAACAATCGTCTAACCCCCCACCCCCACCCCCTGCTCATTTGTCAACGAGCAAATCAAAACGCACACACCGGAAGCGGGGGACGAAACGCAACATAGAACGAGCTTCGGAGACTCTTTCGACCATCGTATGCATACATCGCATCTATCCTCACGCTTTCAATCAAACATTCTCTTGAAGCATATGCGTATCCTCAGGCAGTCGCCAACACTACCAGCCAGGCAACGCTCCCACCCGTGGTGCCTACACATGCACGCACGCATGTGCACAACGACAACGAAACTCACCTTCTGGCCCTTGGGCACGAGGAAGACCTGAGTGGTGATCTCGATCTGACCCTTGGTAATCTTCGTGGGCACCTGTAACGAACGGTTAAGTGACACAGATCGGGCGAGCAAAAGGAGAAAGGCGTGCCGGTGGAGGGCACGTGCGGCGAGCGGCATCGCGAAGCGCAACACAAGAAATTCCGTCGATATTTGAAGCGAGCGACAAGACCATCTTATTCCCATGGATGGCAAAGGCAGAGAATAAGGCACGGACATGGAGGGCCAGGGCCATCGAACGCGCATCACTGAAGACGGATTCAAGACAGAGGTACAATGTCACCACGTCTCTCTCGGTCGAGGAAAACACACACCCACAAAACTTCATACCGAGAATGCTGCTTGCTGTATGACAAGGTTAACGCCGCTCTTGCCGGCATCAAAGGTACACCCCAAACCCAGCGACCAAACCCTATCGTGGCAAACAAAAGACAAAATAATGCTGGGTGCCACACAATTCGCAGCAGCGACAAGAAACACCCCCCCAAGAGAAAATAAGGAGACAACAACAAACACACCTGAAGCACTTGGAAGAAAGACGTCTGTCCGGGGTCGCAGCCAGTGGGGCCGGGGGGCACCATAACGTCGATGGGCGCGATGGAGCCCACACGGGCCGGGGCGGGCACACGGTGGGCCTCGATGACGTCGCGGATGTCACCGAGCTCACCGTTGGTGAAGATGAAGCCCACGTTGCCCACGACGCGGGGGAGGATCTGCGGCAGAGGGTGGGGGGGGGGGGGGGGGGGGGGGGGGGGG